CGTATACAGCCTCTAACCTAAAGATCGAAGAATCATGTAAGCCTACAACAGTAAACAGAAAGATAAATATACGAGATGAATATATCACAAGCTGTAAAGCAGAAAATAAACTACGATTATGTAATTGTAAAATCTTATCAATCACAGGAAAAAGAAATTAGATGCTATATTTGGAACTGTTAATGATAAGGCAAGCTTCAAGAAGTACCGCATAGTAATGAATTAATGGATTAAGCTGTGAAAAGACACTACCACAAGTACGAAAATGAATGACAATATTATAATAAGAGTTTGTGAAGCTGTCCTGTGTGACTAAATGTAAACATAAATACTCAAGATTTAGAAATAGACGAATATAGATCAAAATACTGATTATTGGTACATAGCATAGAGTAACACACGAAATATCAAGCAAAGAAGTAAAATAGTTTGAAAGCAACAAACTTTTAATATCACTTATTGTATGTTTCTCAAATTGAATGTCTGTATCTATAGAATTCAAATGATTGTCACAGAAGTTAGTAAATTTCTAGTAAACTTTTCTCAGACAAATGTACAATTTGATGAAATCAGTAATATGAAGTTGTGAAAATTTAGTAAACAGTTAATACAATGAAATGGTATGCATTAAATACATTTAAGTTGTTAAATTTATTGTTTGATGATAACCGTAATTAATAAAACCGTTTCTATCATATCAATCATCCTGCCGCACTTCCAAATTACTTACACGTTATTTGTACTGAATACTAGCATTCTTACTGGGAATGATATGGCCTTACACGATGAGCTGATGAATTTCTCCGACGTAGAGTACTCAGACACTGCAAATAAATAATAGTAATAATAAACGTTCCCGGGTCTTCGGTGACGTTCATTAATACCGTTCAACCTAATTGGCCGTAATATTTATCGTGGATTCGGTAGATATTTGATATTTCAAATATTTTGAAGTTTCATGACTGAATTCGTTACTAAATGATTAATGCTCTAGAATCGACTGTTGTTATTTTGTTAAATAGTCTTTCGCTTAGTCAAAGATGTGAACCTTTGTTCTTATTTCTATGTTCAGGAAGTCTAAATACAGTGAAGTGGACGAAAGAAAATGAGGAAAAGAAAAGGGATCAATAAGAACGATGATGAATACAGTAGTGGCTTGTATCATCAGTTCATCTCAGTGGAAAAAAATGTGCGACGCTATGTGTACAAGCACCTAGTTATTCCTTAAAGCTGCTCATTCATGCAGCTCCATCTGTCAGCTAGTACAGTATTCTAGAGGACGTACATAACATGACCGCCCCATATTTTCCTATAACTAGACGAAGGTATTCGTAGCACACAAAGACTGTATTTGTATGTTTTGTTCATCAACCCTAAAACTCTTCAGGCTGCAGTTTCTCCTATTTTTTCCAAGAAATTCTCATATACCTTCGTAAAAAATGTAATACCTTTCTGAATTTCAAAGATCTTATATAGGTCTTACATTTAACAAGTAACAACTGGATGAAAATATCTAGCTCCTTCGTGACAAAACAGACCATCATGTTAGCTTTTGCTGTGTGCCCTGGGTAGTCAGCTCAGCTGTTTAGGGTTTATATCAGAAGTGGACATGAATTACTCCTTGTTGAAGTATGGCTGAGGTAACGACTACTGAAGATGGATTTAGTTTATTACTATTCATAGGGATGAAAGATCATGTTCAACACTTGCAGGTAAATTATTATCATTCTCGATCCTCCTGTTACGTTCAGATATATAAATAAGTGATTTAGCAATTTAAAGTAGCAAGAAGTTGAATTTTTAAAGCAATTATTTTTTTAAACCGAAAGTTCACTTAAATGTAGTTTACTTTTTATGAATATTAAGGAAGAATTGTTAAAAACCGAGATCTGTAGATGAGTAGAAGACTAGGAAACACATAGGAAAACATGTATAAATTACAAATCATTTGACTAATTGATAAGTCTTCCACTTGAACGTTTGTTTCGGAATTCCCGACTGGTTCCTAAATTTCAATACTACTCCCCTTGGACTCAAACAACAGAAAAACGGAGTGAAATATGAGTAGATGCTTTGTTTCATGTTTAATCTATATTTGGAGAATCCAGTTTGTTTACTGGTTTTCCAATAGTTTTAATTCTTTAAAAACTTCTGGAGATATTTCAAATATAGTAAAAAAATAAGTAGCTATCCAGTCAAAACGTAATACACATTCTCTCACTGTTCTAGATGTTCCGGATAAGCATCTATTCAGTTCTGATAGGGCATAACTATTTTTAAGCTTATTTTGAACTACACTGTTGCTATATTTGTTAATGAAAAAGTAGGTTGAAAGAAAGCTAGTGGCCTGTTAGACCAGGAAGTGATATCAATCTATGAACTTACTTTAGATTATGATAACAATTTTTTAGATGAGAAAATCATTATATACAGAATTTGAAACGACTTATGTATAACACAAAATAAATAGCCAATGATCATCTCATTTATTAGTAAATTTTTGCTCAATCTTTTATTCCTACAATCATACTCGTATTCATTTCTCAGTTGTATGATTTTGCAAAACTCTGTTGTAAGTAGTTATTATTAGTAAATTTATATGTTCCAAATACAACTAAATGTTAACTAATAAAGTCTGATCATTCAATACAAAGTACTTTTTTGTCTTAATCGGACCATAATTTATAGTAATATTCAAATAAAAATTTTTGAGTACAATATCGATCTCAATTTCTGATTATGCTATTTATTTTCTTGTATAAATATATGTATAATATCACGAAAGAATATTTGAGTAAACATTTACTTCGGATCACTTCCTCTTCAAATTCTACTGTTATAAATCCTTAATGATTGTATAACATTAGAAATAATATTCAAGTTTCTTTTGCAAAATTAGGATAGAATGTCTTAGTTGTTTATGATCAAATAAGTAAATGAATGATTAGAATGGATTCGCTTTCACTGAGAAGTTATATTGTATTGAAATATAATTATTTATCTATATGTGTATTTTATATATTATCCAGTAAACACCCTATTGCCAATATAGTTTGATTGAAAACGTAACAGAATGCGTTGATTAAATACAGTCTATAATTTACTCCGAAAGTTAACTCATTACCTGACTTATATCATTATTAGTAATAATGTGAAATGTCTCCATTGTTTATATTAAGGATTGAATTTCGATCAGTTTAAATTGATATAAGAGCATCTTTTGCGGATTTTGGTTAGCAACGGAATTTAGGACACGTGTTCTGTCCTATTTTGAACTGGTCAGCTGGATTCACTTCGTGTTAACATCAGCATTGAGATCCAAGTACATTCAGCTGACGAGTCCTAAATACGAGTGACAATAATCAACCACATTTCTTCAAAACATTTTTTGCTCTATAATAGATGATAACACTAGATCCACAGTCTAAGTAGTCAAATCTTTAATGAAGGATCTCTATGCTTGTTTGATTTCTATGATTTCCTCTATCCTAGAATTCCGAAGCCTAACGATAAAACATTAAAAGATTTGTATATAAAACACAGTACTAGAATAATCTTTCAAAGATATTGGATATTTGTTTATGACAATTTAATTTTCCATAACACTGGTTCTGCTTTTTGTTTGAGCGCTTATGTAACCTAGCAGAAAAACAATGTTTTAAAACCCATCTGTCTGTTTTATATCCGAATTAAATCGGTCAACCTGATTCTGTGCTTAATGCTGTAATCCATACATTTCACTATGATAATGGATGGAACACTGTTATTCTATTTCATGTCAGTTTATTCACTAGTTGTGAAAACACAGTTATTATTTTAAAAAGCTATGAGGAAATCAAATGTTGTATGTCCGATTTTCCCCTCCCTCTTTTCTAAAAAAATGGTAACAAATATTGCTGAAGTTGTAGAAGGAAAAATACTAATTTATCCTTATTATTGGATGTACCAAACTCTGATACGATTTTCAAAGATTCTGTTACTAGAGTGTTTTTACAGATCGAAATTAGTTTTTAGGATTGTTATTCTGTTTTGTATCCTACTGTACGATGTCATCTACGTTGTTGCCTGATATTTTCTCAACAACTCCTGTTATTTAATCACCCAATAGCGTAACAAACATTACCGACCATTCTAAGCTGTTTACTAACCACACGGAATTCAATTTTTATGTTTGTTGGAAATAGCAAAACTTGCAGGACAAAACGTCTGTTATTAGGTAACTCTGTAGCTTGGAATGTAACTCTGATTTCCACTTTATTGTTCCCACTAAAAGTAACAAAATAACATACCACCATGTTGCCACTTTGAATCCTAATTTTAATTTTAACTTTACAACAAATCTGTATAATTCAAACTAACAAACTTCAACTGTCTGAACATTATAAGAAGTATAATCATTCTTCTTCTTCTTCTTCTCATATCAGACGACCATTTATTCGAGTAATTGTTAACAAGTTGGACTAACACCATTTCGTACTCTCTTATTAGCCGATTCGATAGAAATATTCAAATGATATTGAATACATTCATCGTACAGAAGCAAAGCAGACAGGACAAATCAACCCATATATATATAAAGATAATAACAAGAACTGACACACTGACGACATATATTACTTAATTCCTTTCGCGATTTAGTGAGAAAACCTTCGATTATATTAATAATAACGTTAAAAATGCGGTGTAGTACTATATAAGTACTGAATGAATGAGACGATATAGATAGATAGAGGGATGACTTAATCAAATCATACTTTCTGAAAAAAATTTAAATGAAAAGCAGACGACAAAAGTAATGAGGTATGAAGAGGTGCATTCAACAGAATCTATCACAGACCAATTAGAATATTTAAATATCATATGATATTTCAATCCTAATCAAAACAGATTCATATAATAGAATCTGACTAATAAATCATATTCAAAACAATTAGTCCCTTGAATACATCTGGATAATGCAATGAAAAGACGAAGATTATTAGGACTACATGGTATATAATAATAATAATAATAATAATAATAAATCACAGCCAAATAGATGTTTAAAAATGGTTTTTAAAAAAAGTAGTAATATTAACAACGAGTCTCAGTATACACTACTTAAAAGAACCTAATTAAGAATACTGAGATTATGAAGATGATAGTAACGCCAAACTAAAATATGTAAAATATATATTGAAAACTGCTACAATTTTAGCAAAAAAGAGATTCTATATTATTTCCGTACATAAAAAACAATGAATAAAAGTTCTTGTAAAGTAATGATTGAATAATAACAGTTTATATTACATTCTCTTGAGAGGTAATCATCATAAAAGTTAGACAGATACTCATTTACAAAAAGTAAGTACACACTTGAGTAGATCTGCTCAATTCATGATATATATATATATGTATATAAAGAGGGAGAGAGAGTGAGGTATAACCACTGAACAAACGTTTTCTTTTTTCTTTCTTTTCTTTTTTTTTAAAAAAAGCAGTAATTGTCACAATAAAAATGTTACTCTTAAGAAAAAAGGATAGTAAAACTGAGTCGAGAAAAAAAGAAAAGATATTTTATACATTTGTTATTATTCCTGGGTTATTTTTTTCTGATCAAACACTAATGTAATTATGAAAATGAAGAAAAAAATCATTGGATCCTTTTATTTATGTATGATGTATATCAAACAACGTACCATTGAACCTCCTGTTTTGAAAACATAAATTAAGCACAGAAAATAGATTTTAAAAAGTTATTCAATTCATTGTCATAGTTCTCAATAGTAAAAATGACTATCAATATAATTGATATGATATGATACTGTATTATATAGTTTTATCCAGTCGACTAAAATTAGTTTCCATAAATGATTTTGTAACATAACACTAGGATATTAACATTTTGAAAGAACAAATTGAGATTTATTTCATACAGGTTTCATCCTACCTATAAAATTAAATGTGGAAATAGAAAAAAAAATTTATAACAAAGTAATTAATTATTATTGTGGTGTATATTACGGATGTTGACAAATATGAGTAGGATTTATTCCCAACTGAAAGTGGAATGCTTGGTGGCAAAAGGTTGAGAAAATCGAAGAGAAGAGAATAAGAACAAAGAGTGATAAGTATAGAAACGAATGAACAACAAAATCTGAGACAATTGATGAATATTTTGCAAATAAACTATTTACTGTATAGTTTTCAGATTTTACTAAAAAAATTCTGTAATTTTGTACATAAATACATTTGGTTGTCCCCGCCTGTGTTCACATTCATTACATTATTATTGATATGTACAGGATTAATATGAACTAATATTAAATCGTGATCGGGTGATTAATGAATGGTTATGATGTCGAATAAATAATTACTACAAGATAAGGATAAATGTTCAGCAAATACCTGTCTTTTTTCAGTTAAACAATATGCGTATATAGAAGATATTTAACACGAACATAAACATTATTTCAAGTTATTCAATATATTTATACGATCGTAGCTTAAGAGTTCTTGGTAATCAATTTACAGTTATTATTAATAACATTTACTTAATTCTTATCTCATGAAATACTGTCGGATATATAAATTGTAACGTTGTCAAGTTGTCGAAATTCTTATAATTCAACTGGTTTTTATTACAATTCTTCAGTTGAGCACATAGGCAGTAGATGTATTGATACAACAGAATAAATGTGATCACCCTATGGATAATAAGTGAATCGGTAATCCATATTGTGTTCATTCTCCTATTTATTTTAATTTTCAATATATCATATTTACTTAGATAGAGAAGTATTAATAATTGGATTACGTATGCTGCTGAGCAAGTGTTTTGTGGTAATTTATTGAGTCAACCTTCAACTAGAGTATTAGAGATTTAATTCTTCAATTTACTGTTTCTTGTTACTTTTGTGCTACAGTAATAAGACTTAGGGTTGGAAGGGGGTATTTCTGAAAATTTCATCACAGAACTACTGAAGAGATTGTAAAGGATTAGTTTGCTAAAAAAACTGACTGATTGTTTCTTCAGGAACCTTCCGTTATTTCAGCAATAAATGTAACAAGATAATTGTTAACTGTATGCATAATCTTACGTATTTGAGCCACTTTATAAGTTTGTATCAACAGTTTTCGAGTACGAGTTGAAATGAACAATAAGAGTTAGTAATAAATATGTTTTTTGTTACATCCCAAGGAGTAAAAAAATTGTATTTCTGACGTTTCGTGACTTCATGTAAGGCTCTTCTTCAGAATAAATAAGCAACCGATTAAATTAAAACAAGTCTGAATAGGATAAAGAAGACAATGAGAGTGTATTTGAGTAGCTTTATCATTCAGGAAGTGTGTTTCCACACAACACAACACATTCATTATTAAAACTCAAATGATATCACTGATAATAATTTTTAGAATAATATGTAAAAGATTATCGCTGATTATTATTGACTGTTTAACGAATATTGATTTAAGATAGAGACTAAATATTCATAACGCAGCAATTGAAAATCGTTTAACGTACAAAAATATTCATTGTTTCTGCCCTTGAGAATAACTGAAAGGTGCAGACGTTTTCATAGATCCAGTCGTTCAGCTTCTGAAACCAATAATCTTAAAGGCAAATAAATAATAACCTTTGACTAACGTAAACAGTAAAATCCCGTTCAAAGCTCTTTTACGATTGCTGCCGATCCCAAGTCAAGAAAAAAGAGGGTTAGGCATACGGTTAGTAACCCTATGCCATAGAAAACAATTTTGCTACAAAAACCACTAACCAAAACAAATAATTTGAACCATTTAAACTCTGTCCTCCGAGTTTAAAAAAGAATTATGACGCCTCATGACGAAAGCTGAGATTCTTCGGAAGTCACGAGGCCCATGCTTTCTGTAACAACCAAACCAACAACTAATATGGGTACATTGGCAGAACAAGGCGATTACATATCTGGACTCTTATTTTTAAATTGACTTAACAACAAGAGTAACAATTAATATAGGTAAACTGAATGTCTGGACCATGTGACAGACCGAAAGGATTACTTAAATAGCAACGGAAATTAGGAGATACAACTTGACAGTACTCAGAATCATTGAAACCCATCGGCCCAAAGCTGAACAGAAAAGGATAGATTCGGGAGAGATGCTGTTGTACTCTGATCACGAGGATGGAAATGCTCCACACAATCATGAAGTTGCCCTGATGTTTTTCAATGAACCATGTAAAACACTCATAGGATGGGAATTTCATGTATCCAGAATCACCAAAGCACCCTTCAAAACATAGAAGGACGGGATCGAAATATTATCCAGTGTTATGCACAAACTAATAATAGCAATGAAGACGATAAAGTTCAGTTTTATGAGAGGCTGCAATCGGTCGTAGTGAATTGATCAGGAAAGAACCTGACCATCCTGATGGTAGACTTAAACACCAAAGTCTGAATGGCCAACACTGGATATGAAGATATTATGGGACAATATGGACTGACTGAGAGAAAGGAATGAGAATGTTGAGAGATTTGAAAATTTATGTGCACTCGACAAAACGTTTATATGTGGCATCATATTCCCCACAAGTGAATACACAAAGTTACAGATGACATAACTCTTATATGCCATACGCACCAACAAATGAAGGTGGAGACAGTTAATGTAATAACAATCTCTGCAGGCCTCAGCATACACAAGGGAATAAGCAAGTTCCTGAAATAAAACACAGAAAGCACCAACCCAATTACATTTGCGGAAATCAACAAACTGCATCACGAGGCAAACCCTAACATGGAGTCCTCAAGGCAAAAAGAAAGGTGGAAGACAAAAGATTACATTGAACTGAGTATTGAAGGGCAACATCAAAGGGATGAATAGCATTTGAAAACAACTGGGGAGGAGAGCTCAGGTTAGAGTTGGATGGGTAATTTTAGTCGGCACCCTATGCTGTATAGGGAAGTAAAGGAGTAAATAATCAAGTAAGTAACGTATACAGTAAAGAATTCCAAACAGCAATTCATCGAAATCTTAGTGATCAAATTGAGAAGAGATTAGCAGTAGATACAGGATAACAAAAATAACTTGACGAGAGAGAACAGAAAAGTTCAAAAATAAATTATTCGTCAAAGATTTACATTGTAATTATTGTTATTAAATCCAATTGAAATAATTTGTTCTCCAGAAACAGTGATGAATCTCAATTGAAGTGATCTTGCGATATATAAGTAGAACGAATATATTAAAAATAATTGAGCGAGAAAATAATTAACAAAGTAACACTTTAAAAACTTACATAGCTAAAAGTGTGTGTTAATCCCACATTTTTCGTTGGTATCTCTTTTTAAACAGCGTTTTCTCAGACTGATTGAATTACTTACAGTATCCGTATGAACTGATTTTTTAAGTAGTTTGTTAACTGATGGTTCAATATTTTTTAAGAAACCATTCGTATAACGATGACTTTTATCTTTGTATAAAATTTCTTTAGCCCATTCTGGAATCGGTTGCTTACTATAACAAATTCCTATTTCTTCAGAAACTTGCTCGATTATGTCTAATGCCTGAATAACAGAAATTTAAACATCAAAAAACAAATATCATTTAATTTTGTAGTTAGAAATAAAACGCAATCCATATCGAGATCTGAAAACCATTAAGTTAGAACAATAAGTACCATCCGTAAATAATCACATACTGTTGACAGAAATCAATTGTCATACATGCTTTGTGATCACACTCCGAAGTCACACAGACTACTAACGATTACCAATCTTTATTTACGAGTTCCACCTAAAGCATTATCCCCTCATGATGTCAGAAAACAAGGAGTTTCAATATCTCACACACTCCAACTAGTGTTCAACTTTATATATTCATCTCCATCAAACTCTTTCCTCATTTCTCACTAATTTTTCTGTCCTTGTTGACAACACATCTTCTTCGATCCAGTTGTCTTTTTCACGTTCAACCAATGTTAACGATTTTGGATAATGTAATGTTATCCATTTTCTGCTGGAATTTTTATTACACTACATGTTGGAGCCTTCAATTTTTAGATTTTGAAATTTCGCTTCATTGATGCATTGTGTTTGTGTCTAAAACTCACATACAGGACCAACACACAGTCGTTCAATTGACCTCATATAACCAGTGCGGAAAGCTGCTCAAGTTACGAATTAAGTACACCCAGACACGTATGAATGTAGCACTAACTCCAGTAGCATAACATTCATAGACTATATTTTTGATTAGAGTCACTTGTGAATGAATGGCTCTGTAAGAACTTAGAAACACATCATCACTTGTCTGTCATCCCTGTCCTCACTACCATCGAGTGCGACTCAAAAGAATTAAAATGAGATCCACAGACATCTGTTACCATCCTAAAGTTCTATGTTAGGAAAGCTTAGTGGGTTTTGGTAGCTTCTGATGAATTTTTGGGTTGCCTTGAACTCAGCGCAACCTTCTGAAACATGGTGATGAACAGAGGCAAACTAAAGGGTAGAATGACAAAAGTTTTCTCAAAGAGCGTAAGCAGTTGTTTCCAACGTTTATCGAGGAAATGGAGAAAACAGTAATAACAGATAACGTTAGACAGCTTGTTTGAACTCATTCATGAGACTGGTAATACAAAGCCGCTTGCAAGGGAAAGTATCTTTGAAAAAAAAACAACTAAGATTCACTCTTGGACCAAATGATTATAATATTGCCATCTATCTACTCTCCAGTCATTTATTATCCACGAACATCCTGAATGAAAAATCGACATAGACCTCGTTTTTCAAAGTTTAATGAATAAAAATATGTAAGACCTATTAAGCTAATTCCAAGGATCTCTAAGAATGATAACCTGATATTATCAGTAAAATTAACTGAGATATATAGTATAGCCATAGAGTCAAACATAATTTTAGCTGACTACTTTTGATCATGGATATTTATTATTAGTAGTTAGTGTAAAATAAATGAAAAAAACTCACCCTGTCTAATAACTCTCGTGTATGTGCTGATGAAATGCAAAATCGTACCCTGGATAGAAGCAGAGTTGTAGCTGGAAAACCAACGACTACAGTTCCTAATCCTAATTCTAAACATCTACGCGAAAAGGCAACTAGTTTAGCTGGCATATAAACGATAACTGGTACAACAGGGCTATCACGATTCCCATAAACAATTAAGTGCATTTCATGTAATCTTGCACGAAAATAACGTATATTCTCAGCTAAACATTTAATTCTGAAATGATAAAAAATAAAAACATAAGACCAAACAATTCAGAAACTATATGTGTAACTTTGAAAGAGTAAATATTCAAACATGATTGCAAACAATGTCATCACATATTTAAAGTAATGCTTGTATTTCGATTTCGTTTTAGTGGTTAAGCTGTAACTTTTTATCAAATAACCTTAAGATTACAGGTTCTAACCCATGAAGAGAGGAAGTAAAGATCTACTAAGAAATGTCTATTTTATACAGGAACGATTTATAGAAATTTTGAATTTGGCCCATATTGAAACTTCTACTTATGAGAATATGTTTTCGACCGAGCTGTTTTACGATCAAATGCCTGTTCTTGTTTGTGTTAATCTTATACTTTCTTAGAATTACATATCAACGTGTCGTAGATCTGATAAATTTAAGCAACTCAAACATTAGATACTCCGCGGACGACATCTACGGTTTACGACATCTCATTTAAATCTTGTTAATTAGTGAAATATGATTTTGGAATGAATATAAAAAACATCTAAATACAATAAACATAGCATGCGGGTAGTGGTACGGTAATCCAGCCAATTAACGTTGGTAAATCCCTATTTAGTAAAGCCGGTGTAGAGTTTCTGGAACTGGTTTCCATGTTTTCAAGGCTCACAAAACCATCACGTGGACGTGATTTCGTGGGAAATGGATACTCCTAAGTTTGCGCGCGGGCTTCGCACCATAGACAGGTATACGTTGTATGCATACCAGTAGCATACAAGTTTCCACCCATGTATCTCTTGTTACGCACTTAGTTACAATCACTATGGGAGCGAATATGTTTTACATACATACTGGTAACATACTCTTTTTCACTCAACCTCCAACAGCATACATAAAGGTATATTCAAACAACTGAAATGGTGGACGGTTACCATTTCCTTCCAACGTATATGCTAAAACTGACTGTTTCTTACTCATTATATGCATACCACTAGTACGAAGACCTTTGTTCATGCACTTTGTGACATACACATAGGCATAAACACTCTCACTTCTCCCTAATATTTGCTACCTCATATTTTTTATGTCTTCGAACTGTTGGTATAGGCCGCTGATTTCATTAGATTTAAAGCAGACATTTCAACTTGCGTTCCTTTTGCGAACCAGGTAACTACCCTTTGTATATACCTACATACACAACTACACAAGCCAATCTTCATGCAATTCATATACATAAGCATGCACATCATGTAACACGCAAGGTTTGAGAGTGTCAATGTTGGATACCCAGATTTATCCAGTTTACAGGAGGGTGGGGGACTAGTCTGATTTCCACCGACCGCCCACGTTAGCTAGCAAGTTTACTCTTACCACCCAAAAGTAACACTTGTAGGCCTCAAATCTTAGTATACGGATACTTAAATTATAAGCTCAACTATTCACCAATGTACGTCAGTGAAACAAATTTTATCAATAGACAGATATTATGTGCGGTTCAGGGGCAATTGTAAACATTTTACGTAGTTTCAGTAATTTATCATATATACTAACTACAATAATCTTAATCAATAACCTCATTTGTTAATTACACATTTGAACGAGTTCGGTGATAGCACAGCGGATAGTCACTTTATTGTCTATGACTTGGTTACTCTCAGTACTTAAAATCGTGACATTAAACAATACACTTAAAGTTAAATTTGTATTCCGTTGTATAAATAAAAGTTTATAGTTTTCATCATATGACAGTGTTAATTCTTTTTAATGTCATCTACAAAACAGTACTATATATTCGGATAAGAATTTAATGATTTTCGTGTCACTAGGGTTCTGTATGAGATTTTAATATCATAGATTTTTCATCGATGAGGTTTACTAGTTATAAAAAATCAAGGATAAAAAGAAAGGGAACCTGAGGCTTAAAGTTTTACTATTATACGTTTCGAAATATTAATTATGATTAAATCCGAATGAGATTATTCGCCAGTGAAATGCAGTCTTATTAACCGACCAAAATTCATTAGAATCCTGAAACAAATTTTAAATATCTTCATCTCAATATGGAGTTGTGGATAAATCACTGATTTAGAATCTTATACTCGCCTTGAGGAGTTGAGTGTTAAGACTGAATGAAACGAGATATCGTGTTCTGATTTAATGATATTCGTTTAGAGTTCGTTTGTATTCAGTGAAGAATACATTTTCACCTTCCCACTATTACAGGTACTTGTGATATTCAATGACTAATTATCACATCCCAGTAATATCCGGACATAAAGCAGTATATTTGGTTGATAGGTTATCGTATTTTTGTAGGGTGAATAAAATCTTCATCTGACATCAGTTTTTATCCTCTTCCTTCGACCACATGAATCTCAGTTTTTGTTATTTCAAATACCAGCTATCAGCTGCCAAAACATAGGGTCAAATAATCTATCTTCATATAAGAAATATACCATACGAACTTATTGCAAGGTTACTTAGTTATTTCACACATCATCGTTAATTCTAATAAATATTTAAGTAGTTTATCAACATGATCTTCATTCCATGTATGTAGAAACTGTAGGCAAGCCCTAATTCGCAGTTCCCAAGATGAAAGGGAAAGAGGCAGACAAAAGAACACATTGAACTAGGAACTGGAAGGAGATATCAAAGGAATGAATAGCATTTAGAAACAGCTGGAAAGGAGAGCCTAATTCAGAGTTGGTTGGAGAATCCTGGTCGATGGCCTATGCTCTACAAGGAGTAACAGGTATAACATATTGAACATATGTAGAAACAGTAAGTAAAACAAAGTACAAATATTAGTTTTCCAAGAATAATGTTTAGGTATTCAGCATTCATTCGTAACAAGAATATCAAAAATTCATTCGGAATTTAACCACAATCATTTAATTACCAGTTTATATTTTGTGTTTACGTAAAATATACTTCGTTTGCTAACCAACACATGAATACAAATATGCTAATGTTGGGATAGACTAAGAACCACCTAATGATGATTCAAGCATTACAAAAAGCTATATTTGTATGCTCATCAAAAGCTGAGCATAAAACATAATAACTAACGTTTTCTGTTTAATGAACATAAAGAAGGTGGATAATAAGAAAATCATTTAAAGATATCAGTTTTCTCATGTACAATCACTAACATTTGATTAATTATGGAGACAGATTGTGTCACTTGTAAGCATTCTGTTATATACGATTTGGTTTACCTAAAGGGGACCTGTTTGTATGCTGAATTACTTACAAACCGTCAATTCACTATGGATAATGCAACAATATAGCTGCATATATTTGAGCTGAAGGTTTAATTTCAGCCGTTTTACCGATATAAGTATATTGTGAATGTATATAATGATATATTTAATTGCCCGCATTGATTATGTGAGGAAACAGTATTTTATTGAAATGTTTAGCAGAAATACTGAGACGTAAATTATATTAAAGTAACTAATAAATTTATGTACATAACAGTAATGTAATTAATTTACCTTCGTTCACCTTCACCAGGTACATCTTTTCCCATGATAATTCTTATGGATGATATAATTTGTTGAGCTAGTGGTGCTGGCATACTACAACCATATACAGTATTATATGACATCGAGCGGAGATAGTCAATTAACTTGCGATTTCCAGCTATGTATCCACCAGATGAACCGAAACTCTTCGTAAATGTACCCATTGAAATATCAATATCACGTGGATCAACACCAAAGTAATCAGCCACACCACGACCCATTTGACCTAATGCACCAATACTATGTGCCTCATCCAAATAAAGATAAGCATTATATTTCTTCTTTAAAGCGATTACTTCGGGAAGATGAAGAATACTTCCTTCCATACTGTGTAAATACACATACATAATCAAAAATATATATGAGCTAAAATTATAGCATTTGAATGAGAATTGAATTTAGTGTTTAAAATAATCGTATTAAAATGCTACTACAGAGAAACATGAGATCGGTAATTATTAAATACCCTTATAATAATAAGAAATAATTTGTAACTTAAATTGTTATAACTATTTTCTAGTGTTAGGGGTTTGTGAAGATTTTTAAATTTTATTGTTTGAAACACGTACGGACCTTAGTTAACAGCAAAGCTGTTTTATTCTACTTTGTGACTTCTGAAAATTGTGCATTTATGATCCCACCGAGTATCAAATCTAGGTCTTCCAAGTTTTGTAACAAACAATTAGCTTTTAATTGAGATCATGAACCGATTGATGTTAGACCACCGTTGGAAACCTGGAAGCACTGGATGGCCGTTTCATCTTATTGTGGGACTCCTCAGCAGTGCGAATCTACGATCCCGCTCGCGGGATTCCGTCTTGCGCGCGAACACTTAACCTACTGGACCACTGAGCCAGCATCCAATGGTGATAGTGTCCAACATTAGCTTTTAGACTACTAAGTCAACATCAAATGATTTACACTTCTAACTTTCCGGTTCTTAATAGTTGTCTAAGATTAGTTTGTAATTCAAACTGTTAAATTCTTTCTCAATTGTATAAATAACAAACTGAATATTATGTTCAGTAAGATTATACTGTTTATTAGACATAAGAACAGTACTATATAATGTTATTCTCATCGGTTCAATAAGAATTATATTCTACCAAATAAAGATTGTCACAGTAAAAAAAGTATAAAGTATATTCAATAGTCTCTTACATTCATTTACATTGATTAACAGTAATAACCATGATATTGTACTCTTTCTTAAGAAATCATTTTTTTACTGTATTTTTTGGTAAGTAATTTATATGTATTGAAAAATCATTTATTTTAATCAGTACAAATACATAAATAATTATAATTTAATATAATACTTGCTAGTTATTACCATTAAAAAAAGATATCAATAATGTTAAGATAACTCTTCTGATAAACCATGTAGGATGAATGAAGATAATGAATCCTTTCGTTGAATATTTCATGTTATCACGTACTTTTTAAACAATCATTTAAGTAGTATAGCTTACAACTTGTGCTAGGATCTATCAGTCTCACGTGCAAGTGCTTAACCATTAGACCACTGGACTGGCATCCAACGGTGTCAATGTCTAATTTCAACCAATCCACGAAATTGCGCCACCGTGCACGATTGTCTTCAATCAGCTGATATCTCGCAACAGACCTGGTTGAACTCCACTGGTAACGACTTCTCACTAGAACTCCAGGAAATGCCTCTTAAAGTCAGTTACCAGTGGGCAGATGATTATGATCAGAATGGGTTTTGTGAAGATTTTAGTAATTTCAATAGTTGGAATCATGAGTCAACTGAATTATTTTTATAAGCCATTTAAACTTTAATCTCTATACACTTACGATACTTAGTTTAGATTAACTGAAAAAAACTATGGTGATACATTATACTATTATTATACTATTCATTATATCATTTCTACTTCTAACTAGTCGTTCTATCCACCTACAATAGACTAAAATACTTCAAGTAAACAAGATAAATTGGATAATTATCTCAAAGGCAATATAATTCATAAAAACAAAGATTTATTTATCAGGCCACTAATTATTATGAAACTTTAGAAGGTTATACATAAATTCTAGAAAAATATCACATGACTATGAACAACACAAAATGGATTGTACAAACAACTCCAACAGAATACATGTCAAGTACTATTCAATGATACTGGAAATTGTTTAGATCTAGAGATATTTAATACCAACTATTTCTAGTGGAATATTTATATTGAAGTACAAATTCAACTCAACGTAAAAAATCAGTCTGGGAATAAATGAGCAAAAACAATGTAAGAAACTATAAATATTGGGTCATTTTCGAACATATTAAGTTGTGTAATTTCATTAACAAATAAATAAGAGAAAATAGAAAAATGATTTAAAAATCATTTTGAAATCAAAGAACAAGCATGAGCACAGATTTATTAAATAATTCTTTAATAATGTTATTTCATGAGATTAATAGCTTTCAGGATAACAATTATAAGTTATCCAACTATATCACTTCAATGTCAGTCAGTCAGTCAGTAATAACGTAGAACTTCGTACGTACGTACGTACGTACATCAGTTCGAGTTGCCACACCACATTAGCACAGAGATGCACTTGTCGATTCAAATCCCGTAGTGGTAGAGGTAATAAGAGTATAAGCAGTAATCGGGAAGATTAGGGTTTGGAGATGTTATTTAAAGAGTATAATCCAGTGAAATAAATTTGGAAAGAGGAAAAAAGGGACATGAAGAATTCAGAAGATTAGAATTTGGGAGAACACAGAGAGTGGATGCACCTGCGCCATTGCAAACGATTTTGAGCCATGTCATTCAGGGTCTCTAACCATCGGTTGCTATCATCTCGCGGTCCCCAACCAGGTAGTCTACACCTACCAACATGACTCAGTTCACTTGTCAGTGACTTCATGGACTTGTGCCATGTTTTGGTTTGACCGCCCCTAGCTTTCTTCCAACCTACTCCTATACCACTGAACATAGCACGTCGAGGCAGTCGGTCATTGGGCATACGTAACACGTGTCCCAGCCATCTCAACTGATGAAGTTTCACTACTTCATCAATTGATTCACTTCAATGTACATTTGTGGTGTATGCTACTTATGTTTGTCAACATAAGTAGTATGTAACACCAATCAGAAGTGGAAAACCTGGCAGCAGAAAACTAAGAAGATTGAGTTGAAGAGAACGGAAGGGAAAATAGAAGGGAATTATGGACTGAAAAAATCATACAGAATGTAAATGATAGATAATGGAAATTTGCAAATGAAGTATTCAGTGTATGATTCTCAAATCTCATCAATCGATTCTGTAATGTATTTGAACATGCAATTTATTTAACAAGTTAGTGAGGATCTCTCCTTAAGGTTTTAAAGAGATCAAACAAAGTCAGTAAAAAATCGGTTTTATCAAATTTGGTTAGTAGTATTTCTGTAGACGGTAGAACTAGATCATTCAGAATAATTTATCAAATACCTTTCATTTTCTCCAGAGAAGTTCAACTTGTTTTTTTAAATATAGAAGCAGCTATGGGAATTCGAGCTAAAAACCCTATTTTATGTAATATCCATATCACTTACCTAGTCAGAAGAAACTTTACTGATATTTTTACCATTTTTTGATAATGTTTGTTTATTTCCCGTCACCTCTTCTATACCTTTGCTTTACTCATGTATTTTTAGAAGTATTACGTGAAGATTATTCTCTTACGTTTGACTAACACTTATAACTTTGAAATACTTGTTCATGTTAACATGTTATTTTATCATTTGACTGATCACTATCATATCTATAATTAAATTGCAAATCGGACTGCATAAGTTCATTGGTTATATATATATGATTTTCAGGCTCAAATTAGATCAATTATTAAGCACAAAATGATGAAAAGATGTGTACTTATAGTAGTATATTTAGTAATATTTAAGAAAAATGAAAGGTCAGTTCATTTGTCATTCATCTTTTCAGCATTTATTGCTGATTAATTGATTTAATTTGAATTCTAAAATTGTTAAATACAGTATGAAGTGACACAAAGTGTTCCCGGTTGAATTTCTAGACAGCCTATCACTGATCAAATCAAATAATAATGCAACAGTCATCAATTCAATCATAAAATCAAATTTATGAACTTAATATATAGTATTAAAATGTTTCGTAACTAAGAAATACATTGCACTAATTGTTGATTTTCATGAGTCGTTAAAGTAATAATAGAACGAATTATGATAGAAACATCGTTCAAACTAGCTAAACAATCCTGTGGTTCATTCATTTCAGGGACGAGACCGTAATTTATGGATGAACCAATCAGATATTAGATAAGAGATCCTGGAATTCGGCTCTAAATTCATTCATACATTTGGCTAAATAGCGTTTTGGCATTTTATCTGATGTCAATCAGTGATGAAAACCCTAAATCTAATTCCTAATCATCAACTGTAAATCATAATCTTGATTCCTGACACTGGTGTATAACCGTCATTTAGTCCTAGTTAGTAGTTGAACATTCTCTAGGTCACTTTAATGTCGCTCAAAGGTCGACCATAAATTATGGTCTCATCCATTTTATGTTGTATACCTCACTCAATTTCAATTTTGTGACCGTACAGTTTAACTAGTAATAAACATCGACACAATCAAAATGATAATACAATCCAATTACAGAATCGTAAGGTAGGATATGAGCCACATTTACTGTATTCGGGCTAGAAATACTATTCAAATAAAAGTAGATATACTTGTCACATGATATTATGTGAAAAGTGTGAAGATAATCATTTGATAACGATTAAAGTGAAAGTGGACTTGCTTCGTGATAGGAAATGAACGAGAGATAACATTTGTGTTATTGGGTTAATGCTTAAAAGAAACCGAGTAATTTAATAAAAATGAGCTTAAATTATTTTGGTTTTTTACATAGACAAATGGCACAGTTCAAGAAAAAAACAAATTAACTACAAATATTTACCTGTATATACCTTCAACTACAATCAAGATCTTTTTATATGGTCTGTGGGTACGCGGACGACCATAAACAACAGAATCTTGCAGAATTTTTTCCAAATCTTCCATATCATTATGTTTAAAACGACGTATAGTTGCTCCCGACAATCGACATCCCAAGACTAGACTTGTATGATTTAATTCATCACTGACTACACAGCAATCCTAGAACAATCAATCGATAAGAACAATTTAAAAAACTTGAATAAATTCAACAGTAAATACAATTTATTAAATGGATATATGTGCACACTCAGATGATTCACTTAATACGAACTAGTAATTTAAATCAATGTATTATGAATGTAGTTTCCTTGTAATTGAAAAGCATACCATAGTCTCACCTCAATCTCACGCGATTCTAGCCTCAAGGTTAAACCAGTCAGTCTATCGTGTCAAGGATTTAATCTAGATGGAGACAAGCTATCTTCTGTATATTGGTGGGTAGATAGATCAAGGACATAACAGATATCTTCACAATCATAAACTATTTAAGTTGAAACAAGGATAGGAATGAATGACTTAATACTGTGTTCATCATTTCGGAAACAATTAACCTAACCTTTTAAACCTCAAAACGAGTAAAGAGGAATTTATATTACGCTAAACAGTCTAATTTTTAACACCTCAGAATCCATCCGATAAGTAGTTGAAATCTTAATAGTTAACATTTAATAAAAATTCAAGTGTGCCTTTTAAAGTCAGCCAATTCCCAATAAACAGAAAATCTTTAATCAGTAATACTTAGTATCTTCTATGATAGTGTCTATATTAGTCAGATTCACTTCTTATTCAAATAGATAAGATGAAATAAAATTAAGAGCTTAGAAAATAATGCACAAATGGCAATTTAAACCCATTATGTAATTATGATATTTGAATATCACAGGTTGTAAGCAGCTGACGAGAACCTACGAAATAAAATGAATTCATGCTATTCTGCTAGAATCTTTGTTCATTGCACTTTTCAAAATGATAAAGGGAACTATGTGTATGAAACAAATAACTGAATTGAAAAAGTCATATTATTATGTAATTTACTGTAATAGCTTATGTGTAATTGAATAAATATATATTTGTTTACACATAGACAATTAAAATGTCAATTAATTGATTCATTTCACTGGTTTTAATCAGTAAACAAATCAATAATATTCATATGAGCAACAAAAAAAGGTTAAACACTAGTGAGTGAAGTTAAAAATGTTTCCATTTTCTATAAGACAGAAAGCACCATTAAAACTAATATCAATTTATGTACAAAATGAGTTAAGAGAAACTAAAGAATATAAAATAATAATGATTGATAAACAAATGCATTGTCAACATTTATAAAAAGTAGTGTAGAATACTTAACAATGTACTTGTAATAATCTGGACAATTGTTATTAAACTTATAAAGATATTACATAGTAGTTTCATGGGTGTTCGGACACAAGTAACATTTTAATTTTGTAGATTCAAATAGGTATTATGATGGCTATCAGGACTCAGTAGCTAAGTGGATAACGCGATGGCGTTTGAAGCGAACGGTACTGAGTTCAAGTCTCATAGTGAACATCAACTCTGAGATGCAGGTACATCCAGCTGATGAGTCCCAAACAGGACGAAACGCGCGTCCTAGATTCCACTGCTAGCCACTATCCATCTTTGCTTATAATGCTTGTAAATTAAGGCAATATTGAGGCATACGCACAGTATGCACATATGCCAATAAGAGACTGATCAATTTCAGTCCTAAAGAAAACATGAATGGAAAGATTCAAGTAAAACAATATCAAGTGAATTAGGTATTATGATATTTTAACGTTCGAATATGATGAATATATATTTAATGCGTATGTACGCTTCATTTACTTAGTCAAATGAACTCAATAATTGTTTATGTGTAGTTAACTTATTGACCATTTAAGCCGCTTTAAACAAGCATGTTATCAATAAGCTGTTCACAGAATCATGGTCTAATTATTAATCTTGTAAAAAGACATATGATGGTAACCTTATCCATAAATTAAAATAAAGATATACTCATTATTATGAATAAAGTAAAGTAGTCAATAATCTGGTTTAGAAAGTTTTACTAAAAATGAAGGCATCATATATATATATATATATATATATATATATATATATATATATATATATATATATATATATATATATATATATATATATATATATATATATAGAAGTCTCTAATGCTTGAACTCAAACGATTACAAATGAATATAGGGTCATACCTGTTATACATGATCATATGACTTTTTCTCAACTACTAATACCCTTATCTTTGTGTTTCCATAAGCTTTTTTATGTCAACCGTTTCTTTTAAAATATAGATCGATTGATTTTCAAGTTTTAATGTATTTTTTAAATACACACAAAAGTGTTGCTTATGCTTATGGCCACTGAATCTTATCAAGTTTTGATCATGTGATAGAATTTAATAATGGGACACTTCTTATGGTTAACTGTTCAAAGTTGTATGAAATTGGTAAGTAAGTGACTTAGTTCATTGTCTAATTCATTATAATTTTGTGAAGTTATACTCCTTTTTGAAATCAACCATTAAAATACAAACTTAAAATAGTACCATAAGTTACTAAGTACGAGTCAAGATTTTTATCAGGCGATGGTAAAAATACACCTACATTCTTATCATTAATTAACTTCTTTCAATAAATGGAATAAAAGTAAGCTCTAGTCGGTGACAGTATAAATAACTTGCAGTTATACTATTAAGTGTCGAAAATTATATATAACTAAAAGTCCTAAATTAGATCAACAGTCAGAAAGAGTTAACAAAGATGAAAACCAAAGCAAGTGAAACAACAATAGTAATAACACTACTTATTTTCTTTTCACCTGCTGCCACTTAAGCCAGCAAAGTTCGTGTGGGTGGCCAGAGTAAGAGTATTCGTGACATATATCTCAACCACCTTAGTTGATAAAGAATTACAGTTTTAATGAACAGTATTCAACCTTAATCCCCTATATTCGACACCTAGCTCCAACACTATTCACCCCATGATTCCACCATATATCAGTCATACTCCAAAAAAATCTACACATACCTTTTATTGTAGTAAACCAGGTTTCACAGAATTAAAGGGAAATAAAAAAAACAACTGAGTAGTTTATTCGTCTTTCGTTAGTTGTACGTCCATTTAATATACACTTAGTAATTTCATCACCATTGAATGCACATGTGATTAACTCTTCATAACGTACTGTTATTTGTTGTTCTGAGTTGGTTAACACCTAGTTCTTCCTAAATATTAAAGTTTGGTTGAACTACTCCTAAAAGTTTATCGATTTTTTTATTCTTCTAGTTTGAGAGTGGACCACTAAATTATTTTGGGATATATTATTACTGACAGTTGATTTTACAATCCTAGTCTTGTATTAATTATCGGTATGATCTTTTCAGCTTTTTATTTGAGTCGTTTATGCATTACTGCTCACAATTATTGTGTAGGTGTTTTTCAGTCTGTGTTCAAGTTGCCTCTGAGACTCAACGTGTCCGGAGCTGGCTACGACGAGCTTAAATGCATTTAATAATCCAGTGGGAGCTATTTATATTTGCTATTTCTTCCTTAGCTCTCGATTCGAGTTTTCAACAAACAACTGTTATTTTTACCGCATTTCAGAAATTCTTTTAGGTCACATGGATCGAATATGCATACAATGTTTTGTTAGGAGTAAAGTTCATTTTTTATGAGTTCCAAGACGTGTTTCTATTTTAATCTTTGTGCGACCAATAAGGAGCAACGAGACACATACTTATACCACATTATAACCAGAGTCAAAAATATGTTATAAAAGTAAAGGCAGTTTACCATTTCTAATTATCACCCCTATCTATATTTTTAACGTGTGTTCCTAATCAAGTTGATGTCCAAAGTTGATAGATCAAACACTGTCTTTCCTGTTCTCTAGAGACGAAACATACTGTAAATAAAAGATTATCTGACTGTAGTTCGTTACTTGTTTAATGGACTAAAATAATTGAAGTTCCACCTACATCCTTTAAGCTTCACCAAGCCTAACTACTTGAGCGTTAAAGCCAACTGTCATAATTACAACATCAAGATACTCAATCTTTAGTCAGAGGTCAGAAAACTTTCTTTGGAACTCATGTTTTAATTTTTCCGAGTTGCAGTCAGTAGGAATGTAGGCAAAGATTACTTAAAGGGTGATGGTGTGTATCCTCCTACTTTTAAGCTCTTACACCACCAGTCATTGGGACAGTTGATTAGTGATTACAGTCAAAATCCAGTTCACAAATTGCTTTTCTACTACTGAATTCAACGCTTTACCTACAAGTTCAAGAGCATAAGAAGTTGCCATTAAGTTTGGCAATACCTGATGCGTCAATGGAGCTGATTCTGTGCGTCAACTACTTGAAGTTAACTAGATGATTGGGTATGAGTCTTGTTTGTAAGTTTCAAAGACATATCATAAACCAATGACACCAAATTCTAAAATCTTAGCCAATAAAGTCTTTTGGGGGATACTAATTCCCTAAGCACAACTTATTACAGTAAAATCAATCTTGAAATCCATATACTGGACTTAAGCGATTTTCGTTTATTAGCTTTCAGTATTAATCAATGGGATGTGAATTTCGTTCATTGATTTTCAGTACATTTTCAATTGAATTGATTCAGTCACTGTGAAGTTTGTTTGGTTGGGTTTTCAATACAATTTTGTTGTATTAATCAATTCAATGCGATCTTGACTTTAAGCGACAATTACTCATTTGATATAAATCTGCAGTTAGTAATCATTACAACTAGTCTGTATAAGCTGATTCAACTTTATGCAAATTAAATCTTCTGTAGTTTCTACCTAATAAATCTTTTTAGTAAGATTTATGTTTTGGAGTAATTGAGGGAAAGAAATAAGCCGTTGTACCCTGATTCGAAGTTTTATTACAGTAGTACTTATTACCCCAAACTATGTTACGTCTGTTGTTTGATTTGAGACAGTTCGAACATCAGGACTCTTAAGAAGTACTATAATGTAAAATTTAAGCGGAATAGAGATAACATTTTGTCAACAATGACAGAAAAATTAGTGAGAAATGAGGAAAGAGTTTGATGGAGATGAATATAAAGTTGAACACTAGTTGGAGTGTGTGAGATATCGAAACTCCTTGTTTT